ATAACGTCCCAAGTTATAACAAGGTGGTAAATATTTACTTAATGTTTAGGGTTGGCAAGCTTTGTGTTAAGAGGCATTCTCGCTCATCTTGTGCTCACTGGAGATTATGGAGGGCAATACTCATAAGACTACTGTTGAAGGGTAGAAATCAAGGTGAAATCATTCTCTCAACTAGAATAAGGCATCTGGAAAGGACATTAGAGAAGAACAAACGGAAAGAGGAGAAGGAGGCTCATGAGTTGGAGGCGATGGTGCAGCAAGTGGAAGAGAATCTCCAGTTAATGACGGTGGGTCTGATGTGCTATGGGAACGAGCGCTCTCCTGTGCATGGCTCTGTAGCAGGTTAGGTCTGGATAAGGTGGGAGCTGTTCCTGTCTCATTCAAGGACTCTGAAGTGCATGGCTGCTCCCATTCTACAGCCAGAATTGATATGAGAGTAATCCACTCTTCCACGAAGAGTTGGACACGACTTAACGGCTGAACAACAACAAATCCACTCTTTGTGCGTCCCTGTTTGCCTGCGTTGTGGTCTTCTCCTCTCCCAGTATTAATTAAGAACTGCGGGTTGTGTTTGGTCCTGCCCCTATAGCCCCCTAAGTAAACCTTTTGCTGCTTTCTGTTCCAGAAACGGGCCACGAAAGCAGAAAACAGTGTCATCAAGCTGAAGCAGGAAAACATGCACCTTCAGGTACAGATTGAGGCCTTAGATCCAGGCCTTTAAAAACATACAGATGTGCACAACAGCGTGTTCATGGATCACACCGATGTGATTAGAGAAATGGTTAAGAAGCTTGGAGAGAGAAAATATTGGAGCTGGTAACCAGAGTAGATTGTGTATTTAGATCCCACCAGTGAGGAGTCTCTGAAGCACATTATCCTCACTTGAGACAAACAGCTTCTGAGGATAAGGTGCATGGCTTTAACTGTTCCCCTCGGCCCTGTTTCTTCCCAAGCCAGCCAGGGATCCAAAACTAGCAGCTGCAGCAGCATCTGGAATTGTGGTTCTAGCTGGCCATGTGGCTGTTTGTGAGTCCTGTGATCCCGAATTGATCTTGACTCAGTGCTAGTGGGAAAACAGGCTTGCTGTAGGCTCTGTAAGAACAAATAGTTCCTATCTGAAAAGTCAGCGAGGTAGAGAGGGGGTATACTCTGCAAAGGAACTTGTTCCAGGTAGTTAAATGCCAGGTTTTTTAAGTTGAGCTTTCTAAAATAAAGACGTGGTGAAGCAAGCTTATCCTAAGCAAACCTACTTGGAAGTAAACCTAGGAGTAACCATAACCCTGAGGGTTGCCTTCATGTTACACATCCTTACCTAGCTGGCACTACTCCCAGAAACATTCTTAGCTTATGTCACACTTTGGAAACCACACGGCAGTACGTAGAAGGCAGTGCAGCTGTCTTGTTTGGGAAGTCAACAATTAATAAATGTGTCTCTGCTTACGCGAAGGTTCAGGTGGAAAACTACAAATTGGAGAATGTAGCCTTAAGGTCTGGCCATCTAGAAAACCTGGCTGTAGTGAAACAAAATGCAGATGTTGCCTTGCAGAATCTTCTTGCCGTGGTAACAAAATCTAAATCATCAATCAGGTAAGTCTTGAGGTTGTTGGAAGTAGACAAAAACACTGAACTCATACAGCATGCAGAGTTTTGTTTAATAACCCGCAGTTGGCTTGGGAAGGGCTGAAACAAAGCAAGTCCCATTACAGTTCAGTGGTGCATGTACACCTAGCTGATTTGTTGGTTTATAGTACTGTATATAAACCTTTCTTGTCTTCTGGTCCAATGGAAAACAGATGCCTTCTTTCTTTAAATGGCCCTGGAGTTTAAGCAAGTTGCCATAGGCTAAATAATGAAATAGTACAATGGATATGACTTGTCCAGGCACTGATGGGTTAATTCCTACCTTACTTTATTTTTTTTGGAGTGCCTTCAAAGCACTTTTAACATGCTGCTCTTTGGCTTTAGCTACATAGCAATTCCTAATTACAATAATTATAACATAAAATTTCACTCTCTATAGCTGGGGAAAATATTTTGGGCTTTTACAAACTATGTGCCCAGCATGCCTGGTTTTTGCTTCAGCCACCCAAACTGCTAAAGCATCATTCATATGCATTTACTTGCATAAGTGTGTACAGGTTGGTAAGCTTTATTTTGAACCAGATGGTTGAATTCCCAACTTTAATCTTGTAAGAATCCAAAATGGCTGGAAAACAAGGTCGGAGCAGAAAACCTTAATGGCTAAAGTTTAGGGGAGTGCTTGGGCCATGGTGGCTGGGCCTCTGATGCCAAGTTGTGGCCCCAAACAGGACAGAGACAGGATTTCCTGCTTGTTTTCCTTAGGGTTTTTTTTGGGGGGGGGCATGGGGAGTTAAGCTAAATTAAGTTTATTTAAGTCTTAGTTTGGGTTTTCCACTTCAAAATAGCAGATGTCTAGATCAGAGAGAATGCGATGGGACACCAAAGAGGGGGAATGGGGCGTAATTCAATACACTTCATTCAATACACTTGAATGAGTTGAGTCTGAATCCCAGGAGGCAGCAACATCTCTTCATTGTACTCTGTACCTGTTCTGTGTTCATTCTAGGCAGCTAGTTTCAGGTGCAGAACAACTGCAGCTTGTGGCTGATCTTCTGAAATCTATAGACAAAATATCTGAGATACCATCACAAGGAACTCCCTGAGAATCCATTACCTCTCATTCTTGGAGAAAGATAAGATTGGAAACCGGACTTTTCAAAGGCATTGTGCTGTGATCTTTAACTTCCAGAACTGTTAAGAAGGTTGCAGCCCTTGGCTATTATGTCTGGATTGATCAGTGGAAAGCATTTCATAATCTACTAATAATGTGCAGAGATAACCAAATATTTTCCCACTTCGCTGGCTGGCTGGCTGCTTAGAGATTGCTTGAATTTAAAAGTCTAGTCAGGAATATATTTGTTATTTAACATGGCTGCCAGTCAGAAGACAAGCTGTCCCTGAGCACAGTTATTGTTATTAAAACTGTCTTTTTGGTGGAAATCACATTTCTTGAAAGCCAGCTGTCATATGGAGTGTGATGAGACCTTTTATTGCTTTTTGTACAGCAAAGTATCCAGGATTTAACCTTCTGAATATACAGTTTTGAGGCTTTTTAATTTCTCCAGGCTTTGTAATAGTATTATTTTTTAAATTAAAACGAAACTGCAAGTATGGAGTGTTCATCTGTTTGGTTTGTGTTTTATATTTTAATTATTTTCAGTCGTGGTAAAAAGCATGTACATGAGGAAATGCCTCCTCTTAAGAGTTGGTTGCGTGCTCTGGAAAGGTTGGATACCATTGTGAACTTTTTTTTTTTTGCAAAAGTTGCCATCTGTGCCTGTGTGTTCGGAATGCGCCCCATTCCAGTTCATACCAGGGCAGCGTCTTTGTGAGTTGATAGCTGTTGTCACAGAAGCGATTAGGTGTCTGCCCTCCACTGCTAAACCGCTGCAGTAATCAAATGAGCCATTGTAGAATGATCAGAGCAACTCAAAGGAAGTGTATGTTTGGATGATCCAAGGTTTCTATCTAGAATTACAGGGCGAAACTGATAAAAAAAGAATCGAGACGTGTGCTTCCACTGGCACCCAGTGAGAAGCGCCAAAGACTTTGACCTTGGGATTAAGTCTCTCAATAGCAAAGGGATACTAATTAAAACCCCATCACGCACCCAGCTCCAACTGAGGTTCCCTGTAGGGATGTTCTGTGGCGTTTTGACTTCTGGAAGAAAGCCAGGATATAAACCTCACAAAGACTTGACTTGAAGGATTCAGCCAGCTATTAAAGGAGGCCCTGAGTTCATCCAGGAAAAGAAATGGTAAAACGGTATATAAGGTGTTTCTCAAATCTTGGTACTGCAGAGCTCAGTGTTGTCCAAACTTGGCCACTTTAAGATGAGTGGACTTCAACTCGCTCAGTGTTGTCCAAACTTGGCCACTTTAAGATGAGTGGACTTCAACTCGCTCAGTGTTGTCCAAACTTGGCCACTTTAAGATGAGTGGACTTCAACTCGCTCAGTGTTGTCCAAACTTGGCCACTTTAAGATGAGTGGACTTCAACTCGCTCAGTGTTGTCCAAACTTGGCCACTTTAAGATGAGTGGACTTCAACTCGCTCAGTGTTGTCCAAACTTGGCCACTTTAAGATGAGTGGACTTCAACTCGCTCAGTGTTGTCCAAACTTGGCCACTTTAAGATGAGTGGACTTCAACTCCCAGAATTCCCCAGCCAGCATGGCTGGCTGGGGAATTCTGGGAGTTGAAGTCCACTCATCTTAAAGTGGCCACGTTTGGACAACACTGGCATAGCTTTTACGGAAAATCACGTACACGTGTAATTCCCCCCCATAATCTGCTATTCAATGCCCTGTGACCTGATGATGGTTGGGGACCTCTGCTGCCCCTCCCCGCCTTTCTTCAATCCCACTCACGCAAATGTTAGAATTTCAAGCCTGGATAACGGCGCCTCTGGCTGAGCTCACCCCACGCCCTGAGCCCTTTCCTTGTTCGTGGTTCCCTAAGACTTACTCCACAAACCACGATTGAGCAAGCCATGGCTGAACGTGCTTGTCTGGCCTGCAGTGCAGGCAGCGCCCCTTCCTGTTTTCTCCCCAGCGGCCCTGCGAGGTAGGCTGGGCTCTAACGGGCTCTGTGCCCGAGGCGGGCCTTGAACGTGGGGCCTCCCCAGGGCCAGTCCACCGCCCTCCCCTCCTCGCCAGGCTGACGACGGGTGGCCACCACCGGTCCGCAGCACGAGCGTCGCGCGGACTGAGCGGCTCCCGCAGAAAGCGCGCCGTGCGGAAGAGCGTCATTTGGCGTCCTCCGCGTTCATTGGCCGCCGCCACACGTGGCACGCCCCTCCCGCTTCTTTTCCTTCTGATTGGCTGTTCGCAAGACAACACGTTCATACGGCAAGGTCCCTCTCCCTCGTTGTGCGCCGCTATCGGGCAGGTGATCTGCGCCCGGAGTGTCCTCCTCAGCAGGATTGGCCCAGCCCCGAGGACGAGGCGAACAGCGCATTGGCCACCGAATGGGCAAGGGGGCGGGGCCTAGGAGGACAGCCGGCGATCGTTGGGCCTGGGAGTGGATGTAGGCGGGGCTCCCCCTCCCGTGTTGCAATTCCGGCTTCATTAGCCCGCGCG